ACCACCACAAAAACATGAAATCTAAATTCTCCTTTTTTCTTTCTAGAATGGTTGCAGATTCTAACAGAAAATTAGAGTTATTTATCATAAAACTTTCATTCTTCTATTCTTTTCACAATTATTTTAATTTTATTCTTTTATTGATCTTTGCACTGTGTCTAACTACTATATTTGCATAAAAAAAGTTAAATCACTCAACAAGCACCTATCTCAAGTCAAGTGAATTGTGTAATTCACAAGCATCTCATTGAGAAATTTTTATATTTAATATTTCATTTATGTTTTTTATCTGACCTAATAAGTTTCTATTTTTTACATTTCAGTTACTTTCTATAATAATAAATAAAAAATGCATGAAAGAACAAGAAATTTAGTACTAGTGTTTTACCTCTTGTTTTTTTACTTTCATCACTGATGAAACTAAGCTTTAACTTGCTGTAATGATGGTAGTAGTATATAAAATAACTTTTCTTTATTTCAGATATTCAAACCCCTATTTTGGCTCCATGCTGCTACCTAGAATTACATTTGGTTGAGTCAAAATTTGAGGGATTTGTAGTTTGAGTAGTTTGTCCACAGTATCTCCAGTCTTGTTTCTTTACTTTTTTTTTACAGTCTCTGTTTGCAGGTTTTAAATTCCCAATTTTAAATTGACTTTGTTTGGTTTTTTTTGTATGCTCAACTATAGACAAAGGATTACTGGATATGGTAGCTAACTTTATACATTGTAATGATAATAAGCATAGCTAGTAGCTAGCTGATACAGTTTATGACGATTTATGGTAGCTAACTTTATACATTGTAATAAGCATAGCTGGTAGCTAGCTGATAAGGTTTATGATGATTTATGGTAGCTACCTTTATACATTGTAATGATAATAAGCATAGCTAGTAGCTAGCTGATATGGTTTATGACGATTTATGGTAGCTATTGACTATTTGATCACGTTAGTTCGAGATGTAAAATGTTAAGCTGCAGCTGGATATTGTCATGGAGATTTGTTTGAGAATACAGTGAGCATCTATAGTTTCCGTGTTACTAAATTCTCTCTATATAATGCATAGCAATGGGCAAATATATTCCTAGACTAAAACACAATCCTCACTAAGCAAGTATAAAATCTTACCAGTAGAAAAGTAGCCTTTTCAAATAAAACATACGTCTTAAACATTGATTTAAATAAACCTATATGTCTCTTAAGGTAATTGTTCTACAAATGTGTGTAATCAGATTTAATGTTATGTGTATTGATTTTTTTTTTGACTTCTTCATACATAACAAAGCCACTGATTGTATAGTGTACAAAGCATTGAGTATCTATATATAACAGTCATCTAATGTTCCTCTGTTATTGGCTGATAATTCCTGTTTCACTCTGTATTTAATTTTTTAAAAGAACAACAGATACTTGTAAGAAAGCTAATTTCAAGGAGTAATGGTAACATTATTTACACTAGAATTATGTTTTTTAGTTTATGTACAATATAGAAGAAACAAATCAACTTTTCAATATCCCTACAACCTTTGCAGTACCTTATTTTTAATATTCTACAAAGGGTTTGAATGCAATATACCATGCCATTTTTTGGTTATAGGTTGGCAAAAGAATAATAATAAGAGGAATTACAAATGTGCCATTTTGAGCAGATTTTCTTTTTCTTGCAAGTCTAATATGTATACTAACATGAAAGTGGTTATGCAGCAACCCTCCAACAATAGGAGTGTGACACTACCCTTATCATAACTAACACCCTCTTTAATCTTGCGGCTGTTAACCACTTCTCGATTGGCAGTCTTATTGAATAGACATGTTTTCACTCACAATTTGATTAATTTATCCACTTATCCCTATTTGGACTCGCAGCATTTAGAGTTGCTTCTCCCTTTGTGGGGATAAAACCCAGATATTTTGAGTACCTTTTCCAAGACACAGTTTTCCTATATTTGTCATACTCTGACCATCCTTCTCTATTCATTATCCTCCCATCACCTTTTGTCTGAGGCCATTCATCATTTCCCTGAGGGTTTTCAGATAATACTCAGAATCTCCTTTTTGCTATCATAGCACACCTTTCCTTTTCAGCCCTGGCATTACAGAGTAGCTGCTCTGCAGTTGGGAACTTCTTGGTCCAAGACACCCTTTCATCTCAGGTTTGTTTATCTTCTACTTCATTGCATTTCTTGGAATGAGAGGTTTTGGGAAGTATCTCTGACAAGTTGGAGTCGAGGATTGAGTCAGCTCATCTGCACACTTCCTTGGCATCTTAGTTATCCCTTCAACCTCTTCCCATCCCTGTGTCTAGCCCCCTTTCTAATCCCTTACTGGTTCTGACTGCTTGGGTGTTTGTTGTTTGCCATAGATATAGACAGGCATAATTTTCAGGGCACCCAATGTTGGTGACTATGTTCTCAGGTCAGAAGTCTTCTTATGCTCATACAATACTTGGTTCATCTCGGTGTTTTTCATCCTCACCTTCTTCTACTGCATGAGAGATTCTCTCTCTTTTGGGGATGTGGGCTTCTCTAGAAACCCTTATTTCACTTGGTCGTGCCCACATGTGCCATCTTCAATGAGTTTTGATAGACCAGTGGAACCTTGTTCAGGATCTTTTAGATGCCCCTCTTACTCTCTCCTTTCCTTACAGACCAGTTTTGCCTGGTGCTTGGATTGGGACAACACCACTGTTGGTGTTTCTCTTCTCTCTCCTCATCCAGAATGTCACCTTTTATGGATGCTTCTTTTTCCGGTTGGGGGCATACCTTGACACTCGGGAGGTTTCGGGATGTTGGACTCTCTCTGAGTCCTCTCTCCATATCAATCTCTTGGAACTTCTTGCTGTTCATCGAGCCTTACTTCATTTTCTGCAGGATCTTCAGGACTGGTTGGTAATAGTCCAGTTCAACAATTCTACGGTGGTCTTGTACATCACCAGGCAAAGGTGAACTCATCAAGAGGCCTGTGTTTTCAAACATTGGATCTTCTGTACTGGGCCCACAGCCATCACATCACTTTGTTGGCATGTCATATTCCGGGTGCCCTGAATCTGGTTGTGGATCAGTTATCCAATCCCAACAATATTCTTCCTACAGAATTATTTTTGAATCCTCACATTTTTTGGTGCTTGTGTACCAGATTTGGACTTTGCCACTCATCCCAATACACATTTTCCCTGATTTTGGTCTCCTGTTCCTCATCCTTTGGCAGGAGCAGTTGATGTTCTCAGTCAGGATTGGACAGGTTGGTACCTATATATGTATTCACCTATTTGTCTCCTCCTAAGGGTCCTTGCCATAATTCAGACCACTTCATTTTGTGTTCTGTTGGTGGCTCCATATTGGTCAACTCAAACATGGTTTCCTCTGTTGTACTGGCTTTTGGTGTCACCCCCTTCCCCTCCTTTATCTCCAACATTCTTTTGTCATCTGTCTGTTACAATGGACAGATATCTTCACATGTGGCTTTTGTCCAGTCCCTCACCAGAAGGGCCAGACTTTCTCGATGGGTAGCTTCCTTTGTTTCCTATCCAGTTCATCCTTACTCCATGGCAATTTAACAACATAAATGGCACATGTACCACTGTTAGTCTGTCAGACAGGGTTATTATCCTTCCTGCCTTACTGTTCCACACGTAATGTCCTTTTTGACAGGGGCCTTTCAGTTTCCTGTGTTGCAGGCTATTGGGCGATGTTATCTGCCATGTTTAGGTTTACCAAATTTGCTTGTGTTTTCTAGTCATCAGTCTTATCCCTGTTGCTTCATTTCTTCTGATTGGAACTTCAATGTAGTTCTCCATTTGAACCTATGTCTTCATGTCTGTTATATCACCTTTTCTCGAAGTCCCTGTTTTTGCTGATGTTGATGTGTGGACATTGTCATTCCGATGTGTTTGCAATTGATGTTTGCTGCCTTTTGTTTTATAAGTCCAATGTTTTCTTCTTTCCTGGATATTCTTTTATGTCAAAAACTTTGGCTGCCTAAGAGGGTAATTCTACCTTTTACATCTAATTCCCTTAGCTCCATATCCTATCTTTATGACTGCTTCGATCCCAACCATCTCCTTTGTTAGGGTCATGGCTTTTCGATGGTATATGACATGCGCTGCTACCTTCTGTGATCCCCGAGTCCATTTATTTATTCCATGGGAACTTAACCTCTCCTGTGATCTTTCTCCCATTGCTCTTATAGGTTGGATTCGCCTGGCGTATTCTTCCCTTTCTCTTTATGATTGTCAACGTTTTCAGATTTGGATGATGCACTCTGTCAGTGTGATTACTCTGCTTTTCAATATGGGGTAATCCAGTCACCCATTGCACTGTCTCTGGTGCTGCAGTCCTCCTGTCTGCCAGATGCTGGTTCCTGGGGATATGGTGTTAGTTGGAGCCGGATCAGCCACATAAGTCCTCACATGGTTGATGGGTACCCTCCTTCTACCATGGACTGTATGATAAATTCCTAATGCCGCTAGATTTTTGACTGGAGATGCAAACCCGCAATGCCCTCTCTCTTCCTACTGTCCTCTAGATTTCGGTTCTCAGTGAAGGTTGGAGCTGGACAAGACACATGAATTTCTGTAGGTGTAAGGTCAGTACTCTCCTTCTACTGAGGACTGGATGAAGAATTCCCAATGCTGCCAGGCTTTGGACTGGAGATGAACATCCACATGGGCCCTCCACCTTCCTACCATTGGCTGGATGTCAGTTCCCAGTGGATCCAGTGTTGATTGTGTCAGAGATGTTACGATAGGGGTAGTGTCATACTCCTATTTTTGGAGGGTTGCTGCACAATCAAATACATGTTAGTATGCAGATATCTCACGTTAACACATGTGAGGGTAAGTGTGAGTATCGAGGCTAATGGGGAGCAAAAGTTTGTGCCAATAAAGGCCAGTATAAATCGAGAAATCTTTTTGTGAGAAGCGATATCTATCAGAAATATATTTTCAGTTTAAAAAAATGTTAACTTTTCTCTATCAAATACAAAGATAATGCTCTCTTTCAGCTATCACCTACATGCCTGTTGGAAGTTCACCACCTGTTAGGTATTTGGTGACAGTGCATAAGAATGCTCGAGTCCAGCAGCTTCGAGAAGTGCTACTCTCCATGATCCAACAAGATGGTCATGCACTTGATGATGTAATTCTAGCTGAAGTGTTTGATAACCACATCTCCCGTATATTAGTAAGTTGTTATTGTTATAGACTTATTTTTATACCAATTTTAACTTCAAGTATTTTTTTTCAGAATATATTTTTATCTTTTGTCTGGAAGTAGTGTCATAAAAAAAAGTAAGTAGATTCCTTTTGTTTTTTCAGCTTGTAAGTTTTTATAAAAAAAAACATTAGAAATATAATTATTATTTTGTGTAGAAGAGGAAGAAGAATAAAATAAGAGAAATAGCTGTTGCTAAAGTATCTGTTTGAAGTTCATTTTAATATTAAAGTATTATTTATGTCCAATTTTAATGACAGTTTGACATCTTTTTAGTGCTATTAAATGTTTTCTTTGCTTTTCTTGGCTCAACTACAATTTTCATTCTTACAGATACACATAACTAAGATCTCTCATTCAGATGGCTGAGTCACTCCAGTTGTAAGGAATGTATGCTAATATACCTCAGTTTCATCTTATCAAAGAAGAGTACTTATGAGAATTAATGTGAACCATAAATCATTACTTGTAACATTCATACTTTTTGTAGAAAAAAGTAGAAAACCCATACAGAATATAAAGTGGCCTAAGCCTTATACTGTTGCAGTGAAACGGCTTGATGTATTGAAAATCCAAGTGCATCATTATGAGAGTTAGTGAATCATCATTATTTGTCAGTTTCCTAATTTTCTGCTAAACAGAAATTTTGTGAAGCTTTTCAACTATTTCTGTTATTGGGGCTGCAATAGTTAAGCAGTGTTTTAATAATATAATACATTTAGTCTTAAGAAAATATTTGAAATTTCAGAAACTCTAGAGCCTTTTATAAAAAATTAAAACAATTATAACTGAGGTTAGAAAATTAAGAAAATGTAAAGTAAACACTTATTGTAACAAGTAGGATATATTTGCAACTGAATTTGAGCCAAAGAAACATACTTTTTTTAAAATATTTTTTTCCTATGTTTATTTTAATTTCAAAAATAGTACAGTAGAGCTAAGTATGTATGTAATTATTGTTTTATTAGAAAAAATGTGTTTTTAGGAACAATTATGTATCCATACCAATGTCATTTTGTGAAATATACCATTTTTGAAATAAAAGTTACCTCAGGAATCTTAAGATAAAGCTTATGCTTCATTAGTTCCAAATGAAATCTTTAATACTTTATTTGGAGTTCTGAATTTTTTCTTTAATTCATTCCTTAAGAGGTTTTTGTGTATAAACACTTTAAATATCCATTTTTTGTTTGATAATGGTTAAGTTAGTTGTGGAAAAATATGTACTGAGGAGTAACATGGTGAAAGATATTGAATTGTATTTACATGTTATGATTGTCTGTGAATTGTAAAAATGCACATGTTTTTAGGGAAAACTTTATGGAGGATCATTACATACCCTCTTTTCTTTATCTTTTAAGGAGGACAATATGTTGGTTCGGTATATCAATGATACTAACAGGATAGTATATGGTTTTCAATATGCATCTCCTCCAAAGATTACATCTCCAACAGAAGTTTGTAACCTAGAATTATTGCCTTTATCACATGGTACTTCTAATGATGCATGTTGCACAGTGGTTAATGCTCAAAGAAGTGATGATCTTGAACCTGATAAAGGTGGGGGTGATGATGGGTCAAATGAATATGATAGTGCAAGGAAAGGAGAGTGTAATGAAGTCAACAGTGAAAAGTTTAATGAAAATCAAGTGGACAAGCAGACAAATGAAAATAGCCAGAAATTGAAACAGTGGTCTTCTTGTACTATCTGTTTAGAAGAAATGGCCGATAGTGACCTGATGACTCATCCTTCTTGTCAGTGTATCTTGTGTCACAACTGTATAGAGGTAAAGTTTATAAATTTTAGTTTTTTCCCTTCATAACTGCATTAAACTAAGGCATTTTTGATAAGTTAGCTTTGATATCACAACATCCATAAATAAATCATTTGTAAAAACTAAATGAAAACTGTTATGGCAGTAACAGAAACCTTAATTCTGTTATAATAAAACCAACATACAAATGTGACAATGATCATAGTTCACAAAAGAAATACAAAATACATCATCTAAGCATCATCAGTTTAGAATTATTAATTTCTACACAATAAACTAGTTTATTAAACCACCAATGACAAAGTGTATTTTTTTTTTACAAACTAACCAAATTATTAATAAAGTTATAGTTTTTAATGCTTAAACAAGCATGATCACCTGTACTGTTATATTTAAGAAAGTTATAGTCTGGCAAACCAGGGTTTGCAATAGTACTGGTGGTACCAGATTGCCGGTATCAGTACCTATACTCAAGCATCTCTAATCATGTGACTTGAGCAGATGGAAATTCAACTATTCTGCCTTGTGTGTTCTCATGATAATTTTTTCACATCAAACCAAATTGTCAAGTATCTGTAACCACATGTGGTATGATGACTATGGCAATGAATCAGTTGAAATCGGCTTTCTATTGGTTATAAATTTAATGGGAGTTGACCCTCAGAAAAATCTATTAGCAAATTGTAAATTAGAGCATGTCAGAGGTAGGCATGGAAAGTGGTTTCTGAATTTTCATTGATTGCTCTTTAGCCCCATAAGATTGAAGAATATAAAAATATACCTTCAGAATATCAATGATGAAATTATGAAGAATATTTTGTGTTACATTTTGTAGTTTTCTAAGGGGTGGACGAAAAAATCCAGAAGAGGAGACAGTTCAAGAACAAATATCCAAATTCTCATACTAGGGGAATTTGAGCTTGTTTTTGAATATTCCTTTATACAATTAAGAACTTAAAACTTATATAATATTCAAATTTGATTTACTATCTATGGTTTGATGTCCAGTTTGTTTGTATACCATGATAGTTAAGCAGTTTGACCTACCAGCATGCTAAGGGTTAATCATGCATGCACCTACCTGACATGCAATCAGTCATATAAGCACATTCACGTTCTCTTCCAGAGCTTGAGTCACCATTTTCCCATATTTCATGCTATTGCCAGTTTTCACAGTGAGATTCGCTTTATCGACTGAAGTATGAACTCAAAACTACCACATCAAACATTTATAATTTTGTGAAAAGCAAAACTAGAATACCAGAGGAGGCATTCAGTTAAAACTCCAAAGATGGGACATGTGATAACAGATATTATTCTCAACATACGATATACTACAAGCTAGTACTACCGGTACTGATACCAACTGCAAACCCTGTGGCAAACATTAAATGCTTATGTTTATCATGCTATGTCATTTATTAACATTATTTAGAAAGTTGATGATGAAGAAACACAGCCTTTTCTAGAATTACATTTTCTCTACATACATTTCATGAAATGGGCTAGGAACTCCAGAAACCAATTAAAATTAATGCAGTCCTCCAAATTTCAAAAAGCAATTGATTTATTATCCAAACTACTTTATCTTTAGATAGTCTTAAATCCCACAATGATTATTAAATTCCAACTTTTGGTTCTGCTCTTAGTACAAATACCATGGCCCCTCAAATTGCCAGTATCAGTTTATGGGTGAATTTCAAGGCCACTTTTATAGAAATGTGCTGTATAATCACACATTTGGAAAAATATTTGATAAAGTTTTCCTTATTTGGACTGTTAGTGCTAGATTACTTCAAGATATTTACTTCATACAATATTCTGTTACTTTCCATAAATTTAGTTTACTGCTATCTCAACAGATAAATGTTATTGAAGTCCCTGAATGTTTGCTTAACTGATTTATGTAGAAACTCCAATCTGCCAGACTGCATACAATGAAAAACTATGACATCAAACTCTGTGTAAAAAAACTGCACTAATAAAAAACCTTAAAATATGCACAGAGAAGCTTTAAAAATTTTGAAAAGATTAAAATTAAGAAGTTAAAAATAACATTCAGAAGAAAACTACCTTTAAAGTTTAACTGTAAAGACCATGTATGTTCAGCAGATATTTTCTTGTAGCTACCTAATATCTAAAACCCCAGGGGCATCTGGTCACTTGGTAGATATGTGGAATCTTGTTCTATTCCTCACTCAGTACAATGCTAGTGTAATTGACATTTGGTGGGCTTTAATGTACAAATTGTTGAAGAAGGTCCCAGCAGTAGTCTAGACCAGAATTTCTTGTTTGTTAGCCCATGACCAGTACAGTTTATTATTCAGAGTAGTCCACAATTCTAAATTTGAAATACAGAATATTATACTGTTTTGAGGACAAGTCCAATGTTTCCTCAGACAACCCCCAAAATGATTGTATTCAATGATGTGTGGTTATCACATAAAAAAAAAGCAAAAGCAGATGTACATTTTCACAACAAAACATGTTAAAACGACATGTAATCTGTGTCCTACATTCTTTTTAGTTGTTACTTCTTTACTTTTTTTATGTAGTAGTAAAACACTTGCATACCAATTGTTATCTGAATATAAATAGATAATTAACACAGTGTTGGAAAGTTAGTTCAAAGTAAATGTATATATATATATGTAGTTGTATACGTGTAACCTTAAGAGATGTATACGATTTAATTGAAATAATTCACAACTGTTTTCTTGTCTTAGATTTCTTGCAGACATTATGGCGGAGACTCACTAATATGTCCAGTAAGTATGCAAGGTGATAAGCTCTGTTATGTGAATTTGTGTGGATGTACATAGGTATAGATAATTAAAAATATATGCACTAGCCTGAAAAGTACATTTTCCAAATGGTTCATGACAATTTTTGTTTCCAGCTTACGATTGTGTTCTATGGTTTTGCATTAAGAATAAATATAAAGTTCATAGTTAATTCAAAAGAAAATATATTTTTCTGGAACTTTATTTAAACTTACTTTCCAAAACCTAATAAAGTTCTATGCTGGATCAGAGCTGGGTGATTTAATTGATCACCTATTAGTAGCAATTAAATTGATTAGTCATGTAAACTAATTAATTATTTTCAATTATGGTTAAATCAATTATCATGAAATTAGTGTTTCCAGTTGCTACTAATTTTGATTATTCCAACTATTCAAGTAATCCAAATTTTGCTATGATTTTTTGTTTGTTACTGAGCTGTTCAGCATTAGCCTTATAAATTGTTGTTGTGGTTTTTTTACTTGAAGTTTGTTCAGCTTTGGTGATTTGGGGGAGGGATCTCATAATTCACAGATCTCAGGTTTGATTTCCATTGCCAACAAACTTATTCACTCCATTTTTGTTATGGCAAAGCTACTAAGGCTAGCTGCCACTGTCACAATTTTGAACTGCTGAGCAGAAGGAAAACAACTGGCTGGCAGCATCTGCTGCTAACTTTTTCTTTTTGAGTTGCTGATTAGAGGAAAGGCAACAGGCTGGCATCACCTGATTAATTGGTTAACAAATACCACTAATTGCCCAGATGTTCTATAAAAACTGAGATTTGAATTCAGCTCTATATTTTAAATACTTGAAAATATATCCCATTTCCTATCACTTGAAAAACATAAAAAATATATTTGTAATAGCGTGGAGAAAATGTTCCGTATAATTTGGAACAAACTCTCATTCACTTATTTATTTTATCCAATATAAATCTAAAAACCTGTTTAGCACTTACTGCCCCGTGTTGTTACTGTGGATTGTTTATAAATAATCCTGTATATATTCTGTTTGTTTCTTCTAGTACCAATGGCATGCAAAGTCTGCCAAGACAAGTTGCACCATTACATATGAAATATTGAAAGAAAATTTAAATCTGTAAACACTTCTTTCAAAAAAGTACTTATATTTGTACTTAGTACGTGAAAAAAGTTCCATATGCTGTTAATTTCTAAAACACGGAGTATGTGTTTGATTTATTTATGATTTTATATATGTCCCTTGGATCTAACTCTTTTTTTTGTCATAAAAAAAAATAATACTTTGAAGGAGACAAAGCTCATTTAAAGTTTGTACATTTATTTTAGGAGCTGATGTATCATACAGTAATTTGTAGATAATTTATATTGCAGGATATGTAGCAGAATTTTGTAAGAATATTAAATGTGAACAGAGAAGAGTTAGACATAATAGTGACAGAGCATTGGTATGTTAGGTCTAGCTTTTGTAATGAACAAGCTAAAATGTAATTCAAATATGTCTTAATTTGATTTATTTAAATGTAGAAAATTTCATAATTATTGAAAAGAAATTTATTATGTACTTTGTTTCAATACCAAAGTACAAATTTTAATGAACATCTATGGCACTGAATTAAATGCATGCAGGCTCATTGGATAATTTTGACAGTTTCATAATTTTTAATGAATACTTGCCTCTTCAATCGGGTAAAGTAAAATACAAGAAAAATATGTTTATCTAGATGAAATAAAGTAGAACATAAATGAAAATAATGATTTTACTAATTTGTTTAGGAGTTTTTCTATTTGGTTACAATAGAGAGACAGTGCTAAAAAAATCTAAACTTTCAGTGTATTAGTCAATGAGACAACAAAAACCAAAATAATAAAACAAAACTTAAAACTACAAAGTACTACTTTGAACAAAAAGAACAATAAAAAGTTGAAACTTAATAACTGCTCAATTATTTCTTTAGTTTTTTTTTTATTTAATGCTGAACAAATCAGCAGTTGGTGTTTTAAGTTAATATGTCCATGCACTGTTAATGTCTGTTTTCTACAGAAACAAGCATCATGTAAACTATGAAATGTGTAGCATCGACTATAAAAAATTGGACATTTTTAAATCTCTGTATACAAATTTGTTTTCTATATTTTGAGAAAGAGTTTATAAAATGTGATGTGTGTTGTCCAAAATTCATTAAAAATTCTTATGAGTTAGAAGTAGATGCACAAAAATTGCTCAGCATTTTTTTCTTATAGTATTGTACAAATGTTTAGAATCATATTATGCTTCGCTTGATTAGACATCATAGTTTGAGTGAAACATCATCTTTTTTGGTGGAGTACCAAAGTAGATATCTCAGCTTGAGTGAAATGTCTTCTCTCGGTGGATCATTTTAATTTTGGACATTTTATTCTTATATGATACTCAATAGAGAATAACAGTATCACTTTTTTAATTGAACAATAGTATAATTTTCTCAAATGTTTGAATTGCTATTTTTTTATTTAATAGTTTCATTTTTTGCATTTTTGTTTAAATTTATTATCTGCAGGTTTGTAGTGTACCTGTAAAACCAGAAGAAGAATTTGTTCCTAACAGTATAGCTTCTGACTATAAATACAAAGTTAGGTGAGTTGTAAAAGTTGATTCAAAGAATGCATTTGTGGGATTTCTTTGTAGTTTTTAAGTAAAAATTAGCCTTTGTGACTAATTAATTGATTTCCTTATTTGTAGGTAATAACACTGCTCTAGGTTCTGATATGATTGATAAATGACTTTGAAATTGGAGAGATAGATTAAAATATGAAAAATAAAGCATAATATGTTCAGAACACAAAAAGAAAAAGGTGCAATTTATCTGGGTAGTATTAAGCTTACATCTGATAAAATCAGTGTATGTGTTAATTGTGTCTTAATAACTTAGTTGTCATCAATGATTCCTAGTTGTAACAAATGTAAAAATAATAAACTTACAACCTGTATTACCAGGAAGAGAGATTTTTTACTAAGTTAGAATATCTGTGTAGAATTTGATTTTTTTAAACTGTACTTTGGAAATGAAATTCTTTCCATATTAAGTCACGAAAGACAATAGTTTTATCAGCCAATTGCATACTTCACTGCTTTGCGAGTTCCATACACAGATGAAATAAATGATGTTTCATTGTGTGATTCCCCCCCCTCCCCCTCCTTCAGGTGGATTCCTTTACATGGTGAGGGGACCTTCCAGGGAGGGTTCTGTATCTTCAGTTTACCTCCCTGGGGTTCTGAACATCCACCCACATGTTTATCATGTGTGGATGTGAAGGGGAGGAGAGGACCCAGATGGTTAATGGATGTCATTGATGGGTTTCTTTATGTCAGTTGCACTTTAACACCACGTTGGCCTTGAATTCCAATAGATGGGTGATCTTGGGGTGGCTTCTCCAGGGTCAGTCGACTGGTCCTGTTGGGCTAGGGTCAACCAAGTACTAGTGTTTGACATTATCAATGGGTGTTGTGGACATTGTTTCTTCATACTGGTATTTGGGTATAGTGCCCAAGAAACCCTGGTGTTTCTACAGTGCTCTGCTTTAGCATTGTAGTTCATCCCCTTGTAGGACTCCATGATGGGTGGCATCAGTGGGCACTGAAGTGTCTATTTCATATGGATCCTGTACCCAGTGACCCAAAAAACACAGTGATTGGAAAGTGCCCATATTTGGAAGACTCTGAACAGCAGTCTTCACCCCATTCTGCATCTTTACCTCATTTTTTCATCATGAAATCTTTATCAAACAAACCTTTAGGGCATATATCTCCCTTTTTTATTCAGAAGGGTTTAGAGGGGCTTTCTGGCTCTTCAAAGTTAGTGAAGAAGCTAAGTTCTGGGGGACATCTTGGTGGAAACATCTACACCAAAACACAGTGAAATCCACCTGAATTTGAATGCCATTGCTATTGAGGTGACTCCACATGCTACTCTGAATTCCTTCTGCGGAGCGATTGTTGAGAGGGATTTATGAAACATTCCCGAGTGAGAGAACCTCACTGGTTTTCAAGCCAAGAAGTTTCTGCTGTACAACATATCTCCACTCGTAAAGAAGGAATTATGCTGCCTACCATTGTTTTGTATTGACATTTACATCACCTCATCTGTCAAAGCAGGTTATCTGAACTGTAAGGTATAGCCTTATATTCCTAACTCTCTCAGGTGTTTCCAGTGTTAGCGGTTTAGACATTCAAAGGCATCTTGTCATGGTTCTCTGTCGTGTGCTTGTTGTGGTGGCAATAAATATTTAACTACTATGAACAACATTTCTTACCCTGAAGCTCAGAAGTTGTTACCTGTTCCATCTCAGACACATTATGCTGCTCTCTGCTCCACTGTTACAGTGGGAGTGCAGACAGATCTTTCTGTGCCTCCATCAGAGTCTTTCTCACACTATGTGAAGAGTCTTTTGCCCTCCATGGTTGCATGAATTGACAAGTCAATGTTGACTCCTGTCTGTGTCCCCACCATTGCTTCCAGAGACTGCTCAGGTCCATCTCCTTTTGCCCCAAGGAGTAGAACCATTATTCAGTCATGCCCTCATTCACTGGAGTCTCCTTCTTCCGACAGAGATCTGTTCAATTAACTCGGGCAAGTTCTATTGAGGTTGAAGGACCTCATTCTTCTAAAGAAAAATGTTGTGGTCACAAACAGAAGGGTTCTCTTCCACCTAAATAAAAATGGCCACTTTAATACAGTGGAACTGTAGAGGTTTCATTTCAAGCCTTGATTGATTCCTATCATCCTGTGTGTCTCTCCTTACAAGAAACATACTGAAATCTGCTGATACTGTCACCTTTCGGCAGTTTTCTTTATACTGAAATGACAGGTTGTGTGTTGGAATGGTTCATGGAGGTGTGGCACTGCTGACTGACCAGCACGTACCCAACTTGTTCGTACCACTCAATACATCCTCCGAGGCTGTAGCAATCTGTATCTCCATGGGGCATACCATCAGTGTTTGTTCTCTCTACCTGTCATCAGGAGAAACCTTAATGCTCTCATAGAACAGTTGCTGTCTCCCTTTTTCTTCTTGGAAGACTTTAATGGACACAATCCAATTTGGGGTGGTGCTGATATTAATGGGAAAGGTTGTTCTGTGAAGCGTATGCTCTCAGATCACAACCTTTCTCTATTCAATACTGTTTCTTTTACCTATTTTCATGCACCCTGTCAGTATTTTACTGCTATTGATCTATCTATCTTTTTCCATTCAGTTTTTCTCATTTTTCTTGGACAGTTGACAGTGACCCATGGGGCAGTGATAATTCTCCCATCATTTTGAGGGAGATTGGCCATTGTCGATGCCACCTGTTTCACGATGGAAGTTTGAGCATGTTGACTGAACTCTTCTTCACCACTATCTTGGAACTAGATCCTGCTGTCATTAGTCTTCCATCTATTAACTCTTCCAAACGGGTCGGTTGATTTGACCGAGTCACGTGACCTTCTGTACTCTTTTAAAGTTGACATAAATTTAATACTTAAACTATATATATATATTGGGTATATCTTCATGAAATTTTGCAGTCTGTCAGT